CAATCCTCTCACCTCTGCCTCCCAAAGTGCTGGGATTACAGGCTTGAGTCACTGCACCCAGCCTTCAAAAATGTCTTACAGTTGAATTGTTCAAAACAAGATTCAAGCCAGACTCGGTGGCTCAGCCTATAATCCCGTGCCTTGGGAGGCTGAGGTGAGTGGATTGCCTGAGGCCGCAACCCGCCTGGGGAACTTGGCGAGACTTCATCTCTACAATAAATCAAAAATTAACTGGACGTGGTAGCGCGCGCCTGTAGTTCCAGCTACTTGGAAGGCTGAGGCGGAAGGATTGTCAGAGCCCAGCAGGTTGAGGCTGCGGTGGCCGGGAGTGGCCACTGCACTCCAGTCTGGGTGACAGAGTGAGACTCCAACTCAAAAAAAAGCAAAAAAACAAAAAAAAGCAAAACAAGATTCAAAGAAAGTCTACATATTGCTTCTATTTTATTTTTTTTAGAGATAGGTTCTCACTGTGTTTCCCATACTGGTCTCAAACCTTGGCTTCAGGCTGAGAGTGGTGACTCACGCCTGTAATCCCAGCACTTTGGGAGGCTGAGGCAAGAGGATTGCTTGAGCTCATGAGTTCAAAACCAGCCTGGGTAACCTGGTGAGACCTCATCTCTGCAATAAATAAATAAATAAATAAATAATTAGCTGGACGTGGTGGCACACACCTGTAGTTCCAACTACTTGGAAGGCTGAAGTAGAAGGATCACCTGAACACAGCAGGTCGAGGCTATGGTGGCTGTGAGCGTGCCACTGCACTTCAGCCTGGGCAACAGAGTAAGACTCTAACTCAAAAAAACAAACAATTAAAAAAAAAAAACAAAAAAAACAACTCCCGGGTTCAGGCAACCCTTCTGCCTCAGCCTCCTGAGTAGCTGGGATTATGTCATACACTACTATACCAGGCTCACATTGCATTTTGTTATCTCTTATATCTCTTAATCTACAATAGTCCACCTCTTCCTTTTTTTTCCTTTTACTTTTTTTCAATGCCAACTATGCAGAGCCAGGATTATTTGTCCTGTAGAACATTCTCTCTGGATTTGTCAGTTTGCTTCCTCAACGTCATTTAATTTCTTCCTATGTCCCTTGGATTTCCAGTTATGAAATCACTGAAGGGTTGGGTGCAATGGATCATGCCTATAACCCCAGTACTTTGGGAGGTGGAGGCAAGAGGATTGCCTGAGCCCAGGGGCTCAAGACCAGCCTAGGCAACTTGGTGAGGACTTGTTTCTACAATAAACCAAAATTAGCCAGGTGTGGTGGCACACACCTGAGGTTCCAGCTACTTGGAAGGCTGAGGCGGAAGGATTAGCTGAGACCAGCAGGTCAAGGCTACAGTGACTGTGAGCATGCCACTGCATTCCAGCCTGGGCAGCAGAGTGAGACTCCTACTAAAAAGAAAGAAAGAAAGAAAGAAGGCTGTGTGCAATGGCTCATGCCTTCCAAGTAGCTGGAACTACTTAGGAGACTGAGACAGAAGAATCCCTTGAGCCCAGGAGTTGGAGGCTGCAGTGAGTTATGATTGCACCACTGCACTCCAGCCTGGGCAACAGAGTGAGACCCCATTTCTAAAAATAGATAGATAAGGAAGTGACCACCCACTTTCTTTCTTCATAGCCAAGAACCCCCGGCTTAGAGAGATGATTCTCAAGGACCTCCTCTTCTCTCCTCCTCCTCTCATCCCCAGAAAGGAGATGTGGAGCTCATTATAAGCCAGAGCTACAACCAGGTACGGTAGCTCACCCCTATAATCCCAGCACCTTGAGAGGCTGAGACGAGAGGATTGCCTGAGCCCAGGAGTTTGAGACCAGCCTGGACAACGTGGAGAGACCTCATCACTACAATAAAAATAAAAATAAATAAAATAAAATAAAAATAAACCAGAGCCACGGGCCCTGCTCCAAACCTCCAGGTTTAGTATCTTTAGAATCAGGGTCCCAAAGTCTGCATTTTTAATAGGAACTACAGGGGAGTGTAATCCTGGGATCCCTGTGCTGCACTTTGAGAAACATTCTCTTAGCTGGGTAGCCTAGACATAGGAAGAGTAGATTTCTTTTTTTTGAGTCTGAGTCTCACTCTGTCGCCCAGGTTGGAGGACAG